TGTGGCCGTCTACATGCACAGATTAAGCTTCTAGTGTGTGTTGGTATCTAGAAATAGCAGGAGTGGCATTGATATACAAGAAAATTAGGATAGTTTGGGGAGCTGATAACATGGAGTTTCATGACTGAAATCTTTTTCCAGCTAATTCCTCTTTTCTGCATCTAATAGTATTAACATTTCTACCTTCTTTCTGGGGAACTGAACATCATGTAGGAAAATGCTCTTCACCAGCATCAAATTCTTGCTAATAATTTTCCCCAGATATTTCATAGTATACTCCTTGGGTAAGGAGGTCAGCTTCACCATCCTTTAGGATGGCAGATGGAACGACTTGGGTGAAAGAGTTTGACCAAGATCATGCAGCAAGTTAGTAGGCAGCAAAAAGAAATCAATCAACCAATTTAAAAAAAAAAAAAAAAAAAAAAAGAGAGAGAGAGAGAGAACAGAAAGATGGAGGCAAAGAGAAATACAAAGTTTCTCCATGTAGCTGATGTTAAAACCAGGAGACATAAGCGTGGTAATACTCAAGGCTGGACTGAATTGTACATCCCCAGTGTTGCAAAGGAAGGCGCAGGATGAATCCCAGAGGTAGGATTCATGCCTTGTTCATTCAGAGCAGCTTAACTTCAAAGGAAAGGAGCAAGATTTATGTGGTTCCACCTCTGCCTTTCCTTACTGTACTTTCTAGTTCAATTCATTTTTAGTTCTAGTTCAATTCATTTTTCTTTTTCTTAACAGGTCATTAAAAGGGCTGTTGGTATATTGGCAACAAGAGAAATCCAACTCAGACAGCTTACAGAACCTCACTTTTCAAGATGTCATGGGTTTATTTATATATGTATATATATATATACACCTGTTGTTTTTGTTATCACTGAAATAAAGTTGTCCAAAGTCAGGAGTTCAGTAGGGCCTAAGAGAGCTGATAAAGCTCAAAAAGAGATGGACATTTTTTTTTTTATTTTTTTTTTTTACATTTTAACTACAACAGCTCTGGTGAAACAAATCAAATACAGCTTTAAAACTTCCCTGCTTGAACTTCTCCTCTTCCCCTTCCCTCTCCCTGGGGTTTCTGTTTTAGAGCTCTTGAACTGATTTGTTGAGACAGATCAAAGTATAAAGTATTTCTCAGCTGGTCTTATTTCTCTCACTGGATTGTAGTAGCAGGAGACAGGCAGCTCATTACAACTGGGAGAGTGCTCCTGTGAAACCAACTTCATTACATCTGGTGAGAAAAATAAGATTCTGCTGGAGCCATAATTCAGTCTTGCCATCACAGAAGTAAATTGTTTTAGAATGAATAAATAATGTCACACTGCTTCTCATTAGGGTGTGAGTCTGAGTATTAACATGATGTTAAATACATATGAACAGTACAGTACTGTGAAGCCTTTGAGGTACATCCTTGATTTGTCCAATTTTAAGCAAGTTTCCCCTCTACTTGTTCCTTTTCTTCCCTCTTCAACAGTGCTTTAGTGAACAGAGAGGGTGAGGTGGGTGTTATGCTCCTCACCAGCTTATGAGCCTTCTCCATATGCTGACTGTATTTTGTAAACCACCAAAGTACCAGGTCCAGGTGTGTTTGGAGTGTGCTAGTGAACATGGCTCTTTGAACCCAGCTTTGTCTCCTTGCTCTTATTCTTTCAAGAGTACATCATGGAGGCATCTATGACAGCACTTACTTCCTGGATGTCCAGATTTTTAGCTTTTTCTTTCAGGCAATATAGTGTCCGTTTTGGGAATATTTCTGACTAATTCTCAGAGGGTTAGCATAAAGCAGAAAACTCAAAGCCCAGCAGAGTTAAGGTGTGTTAGCAGTATGCTCCATCTTGAGAGCAGCTCAGAGAAGGAGGTTGATTCTCACTGCAAACCACTTGTAAGATAGAGCAGTCATTTCACAAGCTGCTGCTGGACAAGGAGCAGGACAAGCTTTCTGCCTTTGCCCCTTGCCCTCATCCTTCCTCCCAAAGGCTTTTGTCTATGCAAGCCTTTAGCAGTCCTAGAACACTACAAGCTTCCCCACACACACACACCCTGAACAAAACAAAACAAAATCAGCAGCAGAGTTGGTGTGTATATAAACTGAAAGGATTTTAATCTTATAAAAAAAAAAAAAAAAAAAAAAAAAAAGGATTATAGGAAAGAAGGGAAGTGACTTAACCAAGGCTACAGCTTGATGGTAGAGATTTCAGGTCTCCTGACTCCCATGAAATCATGCCTAATTCCAAATACATTAGGGTTGCATATGGTTTAATAAGTTAATTGAGACACAGAATGCAGGAAGCAGAACAGAAATGTCTTTAATTGGAAAGGGACTCTCCTCCTGAGAACTTGTGCTTCTGCTTAAATGCTCTATGATATATACTGTGGTCTCATTTCCTCTCCTTCACATAAAACATAAGAGAGCCAGAGAAAGATATGCTCCTCTAGGGAAATGTAACTATGTAACAAATCAGTTGGTGATAATTTCTTTGGAGTGGCAAGACTGGGCGTTTTGGCCAGGTATGGCAAGAGCACAGAAGATGTTGGGTGGTGAGGCAGTAGATACTGATGCTGGCAGAGGAGCAAACCCTGCCTAGATGGATGTGTGGCTGCATTTTAAGCAAGTGCAGCTGCCTCATCTACTTAAAAGCTAAACTTTGTTCAGGCTCTGAGAAAACCTCCTTTGCAGAGTAAGCCAAGATGTGGGATGGAAGCAAGGTCAGATCCAGCCTTCACCTGGCAAATGAAAAGGGTGGAGAAAAGGCAGATGGCTGATGGATTTCCAAAGCTGGGCTTGCTGCCCCTTGCATTGCTGCAGGGGAATGAGAGGAGAAAGGCTGGTGGAACCAAGGCCATCACGCAATAAACTTCTCACTGTGTGCCCCAGTGCTTATCTCAGCACCAGCAACCTGGTTTCCTAGAGTTGTGTCAAAAAAACAGACAGTCACAAGATGAAAACTGAGTTGTGGATTTTTGCTTTACATATGTCATCCTATAATCTGAGAGTGCAATAAGTATACCATAAGATGGAGCATGTTCTGGATTAGTTCTTGCAAGATAGAGCAAAATAAGGCTCTATGTTGTGAGCCCAGCTAGAACGTCCTCTGGAAAGGAAAGATCAACAAAGCTGTGATATGAACATAAACACTTGAAGAAGGGCTGAAAACAATCAGGTTCCCTCCCCACAGTGGGCCCAGGAGGCCCACTGTGAAATTAAATTTCCCTGATGAAGCAAGGTTTGAATAACATAAAGCACATGAAGCCTCCTCCTGGGGAGGCTGTATTTTAAAATTGCGTCCTCAGTTTGTTGTAGTTCAACAGCATAAGTGTGGCCTTATCAGGATTTCCTGTATGCTAACAGCACCTGTTGATAGCTCATTCATCTCACCCTTCCAGGATGATCCCGCATAGGCATGCACATCAAGGGTTGCTATGGGGCTTGTGACCAAAGCCAATGCCTTTGTGGGCACCTTTTAAGCACATGGAGCAGTGAAGCAGAAACAAAAGCATCATGGAGGTTATTGTTTTTAATGTAAATACGAGCCTAAGCATGAGAACAGAGAAACATCTTCAAAGAGACCTTCTGTGTCACTGAAGCCCATCCAAGGCACTGTGTCACCCTGCTATGCTTAACCATGGATGACTATAAAACTATATAGACATTTTGTCCCTCTGCCCCAGTGTGCATGGTTTGGAGACATGCCCATCCAGTGCTTGGAGACCTCCTGATAGCAAACCATCTGGCAAGACTTTCTGAAGTTGCTGTAACACAGAGAGATTTGAGCTGGTATTAAACATGGATGGTGAGGCCTCTTCAGCAACAGGGGTTAATCCAAATCTCCCTTTTCCTGACTGAGTTTCATAGCTGATGTTCAGACATCTCCAGGACACCGTTTAAGTAACAGAGCTGAGGATTTTCAGGCTAGAAAAGCTAAGCCAAGGTTCTGTACTTACGCTATGGATTTTTGCTTGTCCACAAACACTTTGCTAAGCTGAGGATCAATCTGTGAGCAGCACCCTGCTGTTCCCTGAGCGTTTTCTGCTCCACAGGCATTTCTGCTAGGGGTTGAGGAAGGGAACAAAGACTTATCTAGTGGCAAACAAATGGCAGCAAATGTATCAGTATCCCTATGCGCTCCTGCTGCAGTCTTACAGGAATGCTCTAAAACAAGAAAGAGCTTGGCAGATGTCTTATTCTACTGTCATGCTTTCGCTCATGAACTAAATCTTGGATCAGACATACCTCCTAGATGAACTCTAGGCACAAAGCCTCTATTCTACCTACATCCTGAAGAATTTTGCCATTATTTCAGGGGGATTGGACTTGGTCCTCTCTGATTAAGTTCTGCTTACATTATTGTACTAGTTTTGGCTGGGATGGAGTTAATTTCCTTAATAGTAGCCTGGTGCAATGCATTGGTCTGTGACCAAAGCAGTGTTGGTAACTCACTGATGTTTTAGTTGTTGCTGAGCAGTGCTAACACAGTGCCAAGGTCTTTTCCATTTCCACATTGCCCCACCAGCAAGAAGTTGTGAGGGGACACAACAGGACCCCAACTGACCAAAGGGACATCCCATCCCATATAATGTCAATCTCAGCAATAAAAGCCAAGCTAAAGAGAAAAGGGGAGGTTGTTCAGAGATTTGGTATTTGTCTTCCGAAGTAACAGTTACATGTGATGAAGCCCTGCTTTCCTGGAAATGACTGACAGTCTGCCCACTGATGGGTGGCAGTGAATGGATTCTTTGCTTTGCTTGTGCATGCAGCTTTTGGAATACCTATTAAACTGCCTTTATCTCAACCCAAGATCTTTTACCCCTCTTTTTTTTTTTTTTTTACCCCTCTTTTTATCCCTTTTTTCCCCCATTGCACTGTGGGGGAAGGGTGAGCAAGTGGCTCAGTGGGACTCAGCTGGCAGTTGGGGTTAATTCGCATCAGTTTGGCAGCACCTGTGGATGAATTACAGCCACAGGTGGTGGGGATAGGGCAGTTGTGTAATTAATCTTCCTAAGGGCTTAAGGCCCTTTCTAAGGAAGGAAGAAAAAGGGGGAGCAGAGCAGACTAGAGTAGAGTGCTGGTGTCAGCTCCTGGTGAGTGCCAATTCCAGTTGCTGTTGTTTTATATAAATCTGGTGTCTGAGAGATTGTGATTGTTTTGGGCCAGTTTCTGTGTTGGTATGACAGAGCTAGGCTTTTCCTACCATAGTAAACAGGGGTATAGCATTGATGCGGTTAATTCTGTGAAAGGGGTAATGTGCATGCTGGAGAGATCAAACTGTGATCAGTATTAAAGTTCTTGTATAACCCAGAGCTGTTTTCTGCATTTATGCAAAGTTGTAGATGCCCTGCCTTTGCTTCCTTGTTCCTTAGTCCTCTTATTACTGCTATGGAAAACTTTAGTTATTATTACTTTAAAGCCTTCTGAATGCTGGGTATTTCAAGCTTTTGACTGTAAGGAATGGCTAAAGTAGAAGCACAGTTTTTACTTTCACACATACATAATTTTGACTCCACCTATAATTTTTACTTGCTGCTAGCAGAGAGGAGGTAAGCAAAGGACATACAAAAAACTGTAAATCTGGCTTTTCTTTTTTAAACCAGTAATAGTACATATGACCATGCTTTACTAAAGCTTCATGATTTTTGTTCTTCATTAGGCTGCTTTGACTTGCAGAAAACAGACTCCACAATCAGTAAGATTGTAGAGTGGGTATGTTTATTCGGTGCTGGGGCAGCACAGGGGGTAGTCCCACCAAAGTCATGTGCACCTGACGCAGCAACTTGCTTTGGTTTTATGCAGTAAAGAGTTACATATGCATGAAGTTTCACAATACGCCTATACGTATTCATAACTTGTCCCCGCTTTGTATTAAAATTAGTTCCAAGGAGTCATTTCCATAAACTCCTCCCATCTGCGCTTGCACAGTGTATTTTGGTGGTGGTCATCGGGGGTCATGGGGATGAAGATTGATGACTCTTCCTCATCACCACTAGTTGACCTCTTGTCTTTGTGCAGACTCAGTTTCTCCTTGGCTCTTGTCCATCCGCAGGACCAGTTTCTACCAGTTTCTTGAGATAGGCTCACACTCTTATTAGGAAACTGACCTTGGTAAAGGGGCCCAAGGCTTCTTGCTTTAATTTGCACAACACACCATAGTTAGCAAAGATGCTAAGTAGCATCCTAGGTTAATGCTGTCAGCGCTCTATCGCTACATGATGAGATTCTAACTCCCTCTATGTGTCATGCTACTGAAAACAAAAGAGGCTCAGAAGTGCTGCTATCTAGTAGCAGAACTGTCCTCCAGGTTCTAACATTAAGGTGGTATTTTCCAAACTTGCTCCTTTCATAGATTGAAGAAAGTGTAGTATCCCATGTCTATATCATACAAGTATTGGTAGGATTCCAACTATTGTATCAAAAAAGAACAAGTTCCATGGTTCAGGATGACTAGAGCTAACTGATGTGTTGGAGCCAAAGGTGGATGGTGTGAATGTTGTAGCTTGCATGTTTTTTAGAAATGAAAAAGTGGATGTGAGACTTCTAAGAAGTTGCATTGCTTCCCTTGAGAACAGTGTGGGAATGAAGCCTTCAAATGTGGGAAAATGCTGCTGTGGTGTTTTGTATGTATGTTTTTTGTGTGTGTGTGGCTTTTGCTCTTCTGCTGGAGATGCACAACTGGGCTTGCTAGAATGGTGAACGTTTGCCTTGAAGAGTTGTGATAATTATGGGATGTGTGTTGTGCTTAGTGTGCTTTATGGGTGCCACAGTGTCTGTCAGAGTAGTCTGACCTATGTGTGACAGAAAGTCTGACAGGAGAATGTTGGAAAGTATATCAGGGTCAAATTAGTCTTATCTTTTTGGTTTTTCTTTTGGTCTCGAGTTTTTAATTGCCCATGACCAAACTCATCGCTTTCACTAGAAAGTAGAACCTTTCTCACCAGTCCCATTTTCTTCTATCACTGTTAAGTACCCTGCAAGATTTGTGCTCTTTGGTGTATTGAGTATGATCCTGCTACCTAAACCCTGCTAGCTCATGTGCCCTTGCTTGTTGGAGAATTTCTGATTTTTCTGGTAGGTAAAAACATCTTTACTGCAGCTGTGCAAAGCTAATTTCAGAGATGACAATTCATCCAGAAACAGCAGAAATAAAGCTGCTTAGGGCAACTGGTTGCTATCCAGTGTACATTGGATAGCAAAAATGACTAGTGTTGAGATTGCAAATCTATATTCACTTACTTCTTGCGCATGTACTGTTGTGGCATGGGCTTGTACCATTCTGCTGCCATGCATTTATGGATCATGAAAGTTCAGCATGCTCCAAGCTATATCTTGCAGGCAACCTGAACTATCAAGAACCATATACAGGAGGTATTCTGGCAATGTTTCAGTTAGTATTATCTGTTCTTTCTAATGTTGCAGCTAATAATTTTTTTATATAGCAGGAACTTCTGTAGCTCCAGGGAGAAGCTAATAGAGTATAGTATGCCAATTCATGCCTTCGAAAAATTCTTGAAAGCTCCTTCTTTATTTCTGTTGTAGTTCAGAAAGCTTTTAAAAACCATAGAGTGAAACAGAATTGTGACATTCTTTGCCACATGCTGCTGTTAATGACAAGAATTTATAAACAAATTTCTGGAAGAAAAATCCATTTGGGAATATTTAGACAAAGACATTGTGTCTGGTGTGAGAAGTACCCTGAGCCTTAGCTGAGAGGCTGGAAGAGTACCCTTGGGAAGGAAGAGGATATATTTTCCCAGTCCTGTGTTCTTCTTAAATCTTTTCTTGTTGGGGACAGTCAGAGACACAGTTAAGTGCTGGATTGACTTTGCTCTGATTCAGTCCAGTCTTTTTTTTCCCCTCATTAGGTGTCTGCAGGCAACAGGTTGTTGCTTCACTGGCGGTAGGGTCTTTGTCGTAGGTGAGATAATGAAATGTGAGTCTTGATGTGTACCTCTTCTTGCTAATACATAATTTCAAGACTTCATTTGTGTTTGCTTCTGTGTGTAAGGCATGTAGTGATAAAACCCTACTTCTGACTAGGCACTTTCAAAAATGATTATTTATGAGTTCACGACTGAAAAAGATTCTCCCAATATTATAGAATATCTTGTTTAGATGAAACAGCTGTATGAATGGTTAATAGCTTCATGCATCCAGACTGATTAATGTGACAGCTGATAAAACAGGACTTGACCTATTTCAGATTTCATTGCATTTTTGCCCTGGGTAGCAAGCAAAAATAATGTATTTTAAATCATATTGCTTTTTCTTTTTTTCCTACCTCACTTCTAGCCCTTGTGTTCTAACCAAATCAATAAAAGAGAGAGTGTCTAAACAAGATCCTGTTAAAACAGTGACCTTACACTTCAGTGTTATTCAGGTGGGTTTAATAATTCAAACAATTGTTTCTCTGAGGTGTTCTGCCCCTGTGCAGAGAACAGGTAGATGCAGTTAACAATGGGTTCAAAGACTTTTTTCATAGTGTGAAATCATCTGATTCATGTCAATATGGAACAATGCTAGGACTGCATGGTATGATGAATGTGACCTTCTGTCTTACATACCCTTGTATAAGCACAAGTCTAAGAAAAACAGAGCGGTTAATGTATATAGTTCTTGTATCTTGCAAAGGAATGTTTTAGCAATTCGTGTCAATAGAGAGCTTGAAGGGAAATGTATTTGTAGGCTTTTCCTTGAAGTCTCTGATATCTCGGGGGGTGTGTCAGAATAACTGCTAACTGTTACTGCTATTGCATGGGACACTATGCAAGTCTCTGATATCTGGCCAGGTGATCAAGGATAAGGGGAAAGCTGAGGGACAACTAAAAGACAAAGCTTGCAGGGGATGCTGCACAAGTCTCTGACATATAGCCAAGTAGGACAAAGGAGAAGGACAAGAGGGAGGAAGACTACAAGCCTTCAGTACGAGAGACCCCCAGAGGGACCACTGGAGATTGACAGGCATGCTCCAGTAGGAGGGTTTGGATTCCGGAAACTGATTATAATAACCCTGTTTGTTTTTAGAAGTAGTAATGCATATGTATTAGCCTAGGAGCATAAAAATCAGATGCTTGATGTAACTGGTGTGTGTCTTGGTGGAGCAGAGACTCCTGGCGCACCCAGAGCTGTTTGCTTACTTCTATTCGTTTAATAAATTGTAAACATTGATTGTAACCCTATTTGGGACTTAGCCATTTATTACAATGGTTACCAGTAGCAATCTGAGGAGTTACCTTTATGCAAATTTGTACTGAATGAAACTAATATGTGGGAACTTTGTCATTTTGCAGTCTTACTTTAAAGTTCTCTGTGTTTTTGTCAGATTATCTGAAGTAATATTGAACTTCTGCCATGTGAGGGCCTGCAGTACAGCTAGTTGGAGATTTCCCAACAGACTGTTTTCTCATTTAAAAGTACCAATTTGTCAGAGGATGAACAAAGTTTTAGGTTGAAAAGAAACAAAACTTAAAAAATCTCAAAACAAAACACAAAAGTGAATAAACTCTGAAAAGCTCCCAAAACCTGAACAGAACCCTGTGAAAACAGGAGATTAAAGAACTCAGTTTGAATTTAGTCTTCAGGTATATTCATCCCAGGATTTTCAAGTTCTGGGTTATAGTGGAGGAAGTTAAAATCACAAATAAATACTTTGCTATTTTAAACTGAATAGCAGACCATTGTTTTGTCTGGACCATTTATGAGGGAGGGGTGTTGTTCCTGTTCTCCTCCTTCCCTTATGTGGGGCTTTTTTATCTTTTATAATTTAAATCAGAGGAGATATGTGGAGTAGAAGCAATATGGAGATACTGGAGATAACTTGTGTCAAGTAGAGTTATATTTCTGCCCTGTTAAAAGAGGGATGGCCATCTAGAACATACAAAAGAGGAAGTCACCAAAATGAAGGACAGTTGGCCTTCACCTGGCCCTCCTCTAAGGGGACACATCCCTTGTGCAAGAGAAGCAGTGAAGGTGAAGCAGTGACAGACATCGCAGGAAGGAATAGAGAATGGAGAAGAGGCAATGTGTAGCTGCGTAGGACATAATCGTACCCTAACCTCCCTGCATGGCCTGGAAAACTTCATCTGGGTGG